GGGGGGGAGTGAGCGAACGGCTGTGTGGCGTTTAGCTGCCTGCCGGGTTAAACCACAACACCTCTTTAATATTGGTCCAGCAAATTGAGCTTTGCAGTACCAGCTGCAAGCTGGATGTCATTGCAACACATTGAGGCCACTGAACTGCGAAGAGGGGTTTCTCGGTCAAGCGTGTGTCTCCCAGCCCTTCCTAGGGTTCAGAGCATGTCTGCAGTTGTCTGGCAATGTCAGTGCTACGCTGGGTTAGGTGGGAACACGTGGGACGTGCCTGTAGGAATTGCAGCTGTTGGTTTTGAGGCTGGTGAGAGCGTTCAAGTGTAGAATTAATCACTTTGATTTACTGAGGATTTGGATCTTAAAGGTAATTTTACCAAGGAGAGGTCTTATTCATCGAAGGAAATTCAGTCTGAACTGACCCAATTAGCAGATTGGCCACGTTTTCAGGACTGGCTACACGGTAAAGGTGAATTGGGTTTGGGCTCTTTGACCACTAAGGAACAAACTCTGCAGTCTCATTAATTGTTCTAGTGCAATGTCTATGTGTAACTAGGTTCATTTACTGAACTCTCCAGAAAAAGCTTTACCACGCTTGAAGAAGTATCGCTATACTCTGGAGCACCTCATGTATCCTCCTTCAGGTACTGTGAGAGTACCTGAAGTAAGGCACTACAAAATGTTCCTCCTGAAGGAAGATAATAGGCTGGAAAGAGGAATCTGGAAGAGAACATCAAGAACAAAGAGAATAAATCATATAGATAATGCTTTGATTCTTTCACCATGCTTTGCAAACGTACTTTTTACACTGCACAAGCAAAACCTTGAGAGAAAAAGCCCTTCAGATCTTCTGCAACAAGAGGCTGTTAGAGTGTCTTGGCTAAGCTAGAAATGGTGGCAATGGCAAATACCGAATTTGGTTGCAAGAGCAGGTAAAAAAAAATGCTGCCTTTGGCTCAGGTAATTTCTGCTAAAACAAAAACAAACACAGTGGAAACTGCATATGGCTGCACAAGTAAAAGGGATTATGTTACTAGTGACCTTCCTATGGCTGTGATGTAAAGTTTCAGAAGTTAATAGCTGGACGTGGATAGCAGAGCCCACCTCACACTTTTCAGGTTAAAACCTTCAGCTCCCAATGCTTTGCAAGCTCTGTCAGCAAAATGCATCTAATTGATTTAGTTTCCTGAGCTAGGAAAAAAAATCCTCCCGCATGGACCAAGAAATTCTGGAAGAGGTTTGTAATAGCATTAACCTGACAACAGATCTTAGCTATATGTTGTATCAGATGCTTGTGGTTGAACTCAAAGGGTTTTATTTCATAAAGAAGATGATAGGAGAAAAAAAAATGATGGGGGAAAATTATAAGTAGTCGAGACATTAATTGATGTAGCCTGAGAATCTGTCTAGAGCATATCGCGTCTGAATAAACAAATCTGAGCCAACAGCTGCTTCACTAGAGCAGAACAGAGCAGCCTCTTTGTTGAGAGAAGAAATCTTGTGCTCTGACCTTTGGACGATCACGAGTCTTGTGTAACTCACGTCATTTGAGAAGTGAAAGATGTGGGTCTTTCCGATTTTCTGGTTTTCTAGATTCAGAACTGAAACACGTATCTCACAGAGGATGCCAGTAGTTGGCTACAGCGTGCTGACAGCAAAGGTAGAGAAAAGTAATTGTTTGCATGTTCTGTTTCTCAGGTTAACTCACAACAAGGTTGAGCTTAATTTTTCATTGTTTAATACTCCTTCATAACACATTACTTTGCACATTAATTTTGCAGCACTCTCAACTTATTTTTTAATTGCCTATTTAAGTAGGGACGATTGAGTCAGATCTGACTGGTGTGAGATGAAAAAGCAGTG